TTTGCTCTTTTTATTTATATTGATTATATGTAAAAAATCATAAAAATAAGGTCCTAATGAAACGAAATTATTAGGAGCAGAATTAGACTTACGAATTAAATTGCATATGTTAAACTGAATGTATCTTGGAAATTTAATATATTAAATAACAACACTAAATAAAACAGCTTGCACTATTTATCAAATAATATTAGCAGAATCAACCAAATATTTATATTTATATGTTATATTGATGTTTAAGCTGGAAAATTGAATAGGTCACAATTAATCAAAAATATTTAAATTTCCAATTAACATTTTGTTGAAATCCAAAACAAACCTATTACGCCCGGAATTCCCATTGTCAATGAATTCAGGTTTTAATTATGCTGGCATAGATTCGATATAGAAACAAAAAACACAAACGCAAAAAACCAGTTCAATATATATCTATATATACCACTAAAAATACAAAACAAAAGTCGGTCAGAGTAGCTTGAGCTTTCGTATATTTAGACTATCAATTTGTTGCGTATAAAGATAATGAAATTAAATAACTGTATATGAGATTTAGAGGAACGGCTGCATTTGAATAATTTTGTTTATGTATTATATGTTTAAACAAATATCTAATTACTGAATGTTAATAAGACAATCAAAAATAATCTTTAAAAATTTGCATCTATTTGAACAACAAAAGTAGTTATTTTAAGTCAGCTCTATTTACCCGCCTTGCAATCATTTTACTTCAAAATTTATTAACTATTTATTTTTTAGCATTTAAATAAATAGATATCTACAAATTTAAATTAAATTTTAATTATAATTATTTAAATTTTTGACCTTATCATCCGCCCATTACACAATCAAATTCAACCCCTAAATACCCTTCCTACAATGTCCTGCTACAGGGTATTGTTTAACAGTAACCAATATAACAGGTCCATGTATGCGTGGGCAAGCAACGGCAAACGGTAGTTTTAGTAACTGTTGTTCCGCTTGTTGTTGTTATTGTTGCAGTTATTCGACATGTGTATATAATGTGATAAAAAGCCGGTCAACCAAAGCGATATCAAAACTTTAAAAATGACTGTAAAAAGGCAAATGCCAAACGCAAAATTAACAACAACAAYAGCAAACGGAAAAAGTGCAATGAGTCGAATAACAAACGGAAAGAAAATCAAAAAATAAAACACCAAATGTTTAAAAACACTTTTCAAAATATACAAAACCTTACATCACAAACATTCACATTCACTAATAAAACAAAAACAACAGCAACAAATGCAATAGCTGCTGTTGTTGCTTTTGCTTTTTGTCACTGTTATTTTTTGTTGCTGCTGCTGCTGCTGACACTGTTACAAGCTTGAAATTTGATTTCTTTTGATTTTGCTTTTGTTCGATATATTTGCTTCCTTCTTCTTCTTTTTTATCTTTCTCAATTTTTTTTTTTTTTTTTGGGTGAAAATAAAAGAAATTTGAAAACGCGCGGCCTAAATTGAGCAGACGATCGCCGCTCTTGTTGCTGCCATTGCTGTTGTTGTTGCTGTCGTTTTTATTGTTGTTGCGGCTACTGCTGCTGCTGCTGCTGCTGCGCTGTCGCTGCTGCTGTGGGTCTCATGAATGAATTGCGCGATTAAAAACACAAAAGGCGTGACGCGTCGCACAACAACAATAACAGCCACAGCAACGACAACAACAACAACCACCATTGGCAACTAAATAACGAAACAAGTTTTGTAGCTCTGGCTTTGGCTTTGAAAAAGTAGATAAGCGCAGAATATGTAGGCGAAAGAAAAAGAAACGAACGCAGGCTTCAAAATTTAACACCAAATAACAACAACAGCAAACGCCTAGCATAGGCCTACACACGCATACACATAAAGACACAGAAGCATACACGCTAAAGCACATGCACACAATCGCAATACCAAATGCAGTCAAACACACACAGAAACACATACACGTATAAAGCAGACAGCTGATTTTTGGCCGCAGCCACAAAAAACGCTTCTTGCTCTCTTCTCACCAATTAGAATTGGTTTATTTAGGTGACGCACACATCTACACGCACGCAAACAAACTCTAATACACTCACACACACACTATTACGCTGGCAGACCGCACGCCTCGTACATTAATATTGTGTGTTACACTTGTTTTTATTGCTGTGATTGCGATTCGCCTTTCTGCATTTGACTCTGTGCGTTTAGCATTTAGCATTTAATTTTTACATATTGTACACACCTTGCACTCACACTGCTTAACACGCTTTGTTGTTATATTTATATTGAATTTATTGTATTTTTCTTGTTTACGATTTAAGTGTAATTTTGCGAAAATCTCATTGTTAGGTTCCAATTTCTTGTTTGGTGTTCTGATTGGCACGCGCGTAGCCACCCGCACGGTTGGAAATTTCTTTACAGACTGGATAACATCGGTCTGTTAGCTAGCGCATGTTGCATTAACAGCTGTTGATACATTCGGTATTTCATGACTTGGGATTTTTTGCACCACTGTTAAGTTCTTTACACTCTGTGAATCTTAACAGCTTAACAGGGGCTGTTAAATAGTTGTTGAAATTTTGATTTTAAAAGTGCCTGAAAACTTAAGAAGTTTTTTAACAATATTCATCGAAAGCAACAGAAGCATACATATTTATAAATTTAATACTATCTTTTAGTCAGCATTCGTGTAAACTATTAATGGCAAGTGCTTGTTTTCAATTGCAATTTATGCAGCTGTTAACAGCTGTGCTGCCAGACATTTTAAATTATTTCTAAAGGCGCGTAAATTTAAACTCGAAAGTTTTCATAGAAATTTTATATTAAGTTCAATTTTTGTTTTATTTAACTTGAGGCGCCTTAGCTTTTTCACTTATTGCTGGACAACTCGTTTTAGTCCCGCATGCAACGTAAAAATGGTAAGCAAAGAAAACGTTTAAATATCTAGCAATTACAGCATCAATTAAACTGGCTTTTAATTCCTGAGTGTCTAAATTGAACATAATAGCATGCAGCAGCAACCGGAGCAACTGGAAGATATATTATTAATCCACAATACCTCACCTCACCTGCTGCTCAGCATCAACGGCTCGTCCTGCAACTGCTTGGCAATCAATCAATCGATCAGTCAGTCAGTTTTTCTTTTGCAACTTAACATTTCAATCGCATGCCAAAGTAACCAATGGCATGCAAATTTCTTGCCAAGCTGCTGACGATAATGATGACTGGTTGCCTGGCCAACAAATGTTTTGTTAGCCAACTGGAGATGCGCTTGCTTGGACAGGTGCAAACAGGCATGATATATTGCGATTTCGACTTTAGACAGCTTTTAGGCTGCTTCTCAACTCTTGTTTCGTTATCTAATTTACGTTAAATTTCAACTGCATTTACAATTAGATAAGAATAAGCAGCAGCTGATGCCCAAAAATTAATCCCAAATTCAGGAAATTCAATTAAACGCATACGCACACACCTGTGCGCAATTAAAAGAGCCAACGGTAGACCAATAAAGGTGAATCAATGGGCCCATCGAATATTGCATATCCTAACAAGTATTATAGTAAGATATATTTCGGTATAGTATATAAAAATAGTAAGAATTTATTTAATACAAAAATAATATATTTTAATTATTTTGTTTTGTGTAACCCAATATTTAAAAAAAAATTAGAAATAACTTAAACTTTTAACTTAAATATCC